TATATATATATATATGTGTGTGTGTGTGTGTGTGTGTGTGTGTGTGTGTGTGTGTGTGTGTGTTTAATGCAAAACATGAGATTTTTGTATTTGACCAACCATATATATTCAAATTGAATATCCGATCTTCTTCTCCTGCACTGTTGGAGGCGACACAGGTGTACTTGCCACTGTCAGTGGTGTGGGTAGCAGTCACAGTAAGGATGCTGCCATCTGGGCTGATTCTAAGCAACATCACATCAACATCTTCATAGCATAGCAGCGATATATTTATGTGGCATATTTTTGGGGGTCATGTAGTGTACCTTAAGTCCTTATTGCCTGCATTGTTGATGACTTCTCCATCTTTTAACCATTGGATGGTTGGACTCGGCGATCCCTGGACATGACACGCGAGCTGTATGCTTTCATTTAGCAGGACCCCAATCTCACTGGGTAACTCTGATTCAGAGATACTAGGTGGAACTTAAGAGAGTATTGTTGGTTTTAGTTCCAGTCACGTGGATGCACTTCAGAAATGTAAGATGCTAGCTTGAGAACATGTTCTTAACATATCATTTCAAGTTCAAGTTTCCAGGTACCTTGTATGGTGAGGTGGTAGTTTTTCTGCACTTTGCCTTCCACATTGGAGGCCAAACAAGTATAAGTGCCACTGTCGGACATCTGTGACCGTGCAATCTGAAGCTTGCTGCCTCCAGAGAATATATGCATCTCCAAAGAAACTGAGCTCGCTAAACAAATCACATTGATATAATCGTCAGTCTATTGAAGGAATAGGATGACGTCATTCAATGTTCAACGTTCTTCAACAACTCAGAAACGTGTTTAAACATAGAACTTGTTTAATCATATGAGCACATAAACAAAAGAAGGTCTTCACGGGGACACGTTTACCGATTGGTTGTCCACAAGGTCCCTGTCTTCACGGGGACACGTTTACCGATTGGTTGTCCATTCTTCAACCACGTGAGAATGGGAGGAGGGATCCCAACAGCATCACAAGCAAAGGTTACTGGGTTATTGATGGTCTCCACAAAATGTTCCTCAGCTGGGCCATCAATATGAGGGGCAACTACAAGCGACAGCAAAACAAGTTGTAACTTCGAGGGCATATTCTCCCGCGGGTTGTGCAGATCTCCCATCGACTTTAACAATCAGCTAAACTTCAGTACCGTAAATGTTCAGGTGGAAGTTCTTGTCCATTTGACCAGCAACGTTAGTGGCCTTGCACACATATTGTCCAGTATCAGACACCTGAAAATAAAATGAGAATAATTTGGAGGATGTAAAAATTAAGGTTCTAACTCAATTAGATATTTTATATACTAATTTTATGTGAACATTTGCTTTTCTTTTGAAGGCTGTTATAGTTTACAAAAAATGATTTGAGCAGAACAAAATAAAGGTTTCCAAACAGACAGATGTTTCAGCCAGCAAAAACTGGTGGGGTAAAAAAAAAACAAAACAAAACATTGACAAACAACTCGACAAATCATCAAAGGTGTTCAAAACTAGAAGTCAACCAAAATCAGTTTCACCTCAGAGGCTCTGATCTGAAGCGTCTGCCCCCCAGCCAGAATGCGCAAGTTGACAGTTTCTGTCACCATCCTTCCATTCTTGTACCAGGTGATGATGGGAGGAGGTACTGCTTCGGATTCACACTCCAGAGTGACTGATTTCCCCGCAAGCACATTGACAACCACGGGGGAATTCCAGTTCTTATCCCGGATACTGGGTGGAACTGAGAGACCAAAAATAAGGCAACATTTTTACTCTCACATTTAATGTTTTGTTTCTCACACTCAGTTTGCAGTACTGTGCAGAGATGGAGGGACTGACCAAAAACTGTGAGGTAAAAGTTCTTGTAAGCCTCTCCTGCTGCATTCAGGGCAACACAACTGTACTTTCCGCCATCTAATACTTTGGCTTTCAAGATTTGTAATGTACGACCACCTGCAGGCACAAATTAAACTGTTCAACGTTAAGATTCCATATAATTAACTCATTCACCGCTGACATATTGATTAAGTGTTACAGACGACTATAGTCCTTCTCCCTGACATCCATTTAACATACCCGGCATGATGAGTGCATTGGTGTTGCCCTGAACTGGACCCCTCTCATTTAACCAACTCAAGGTAGGAGGGGGGAAACCACTGGCTTCACATGACAGGGAAACAAAGTTGTTCACCACGACTGTCACGTTTTCATGGTTTAGGTCTAAAATAGTAGGAGCAACTGAAAGAAAAAAACAGTCACGTATGTTAGGAAAACACAGAACAAAACAAATGGAACAAATTAACATATTATTATTATTATTCTTACCATGCACATTGAGATGAAAGGATTTTTCAACACTTCCAGCCACATTGTCAGCCACACACACATAGCGTCCTGTGTCAGACACTTGAGCTGTCAAAACCTGATGATTCATACACACGTAGACACAGAACGCATGTTACTAAATGTACCGGTAAGCATTAATTAGATGATAGAGAATGGTACTAAAAAGTACGACTATTATAATTATTATTATGATTATCATATATACAGTAAGATTTCCAAACACGCTACCTGAAGTGTTCTGCCATTGGACAGAATCCTATGAGGTCCATCACGGCTGACCAGCTCGTTGTCCTTAAACCAGGTTATCTTGGGGGCGGGGTTTCCATCCACATGGCATTCCAGCAAAGTTGTTTTATTGACCAAGACTGTCACCTCATCAGGTAACTCGTTGTGTATACCTCGTATAGTGGGGGGCACTGGTATAAAACCAATATACAGTGTAGAAATACACACGCACAGACACAAACAGAGATTTCAAATTCTCGTTTCAAAATACTGAATTCAGTCCGAGTCCACACTCACATACTACATATTGTACTCACATAACACAGATTTCAAATTGTTGTTTCAAAATACTGAATTCAGTCTGAGTCCACACTCACATACTACATATTGTACTCACATAATACTCTAACATCATACTGAATGGAATCTTCTCCTGCTTCATTGACAGCCACACAAGTGTATCTGCCCGAGTCCTCCGCCTGAGTCCTGGGGATCTGTAGCACTCTTCCCCCTGACAATAAAGCACTCACGTTGGCACACACTTGCTCGTTCTTTCTTTCTGCTCTTTCTTTCAGTTGTTTCGGTCTGACCTGGCATGATTAGAATGTTATCATTGGAGATCAAGGGCCGGCCATCTTTGTACCAAGTCAGTGCAGGAGGGGGCACAGCATTGGGCTCACAGTATAGAGAAATTGGATTATTGAGTATCACTTCACGAGCATCCACTCCAAAGCTTGATGGGGACGCTGTATCACCAGTTCCGGTGGGTCTGTTGAAGCTGGGAGGAACTGAGGAAAAAGGTGAGGGGGCAAGAAACAATGTGCTGAATATACTTTCAAAGAGATTGTGCAAGTATTTCATTCATGAAATATTTGCAGGTTTAATAGGTACTACAGGAATATCATTTGATGAGATTGAATGTTTGATTCAGAGACATACTGGTGATCATTTAAAAAAAAAATGCTATACAGCAGGGGTGCCCAACCTTTTCTGACCGTAGGTCTACTGTTCAAGCAGCAAACCACTTGCAATCGACCCGCTAATACACGTGCACGCACGCGCGCGCGCGCGCACACACACACACACACACACACACACACACAGACAACACACACGCACACAGACACACACATGTGCACATGTATACACATGCGCACACACCCATGCCATGATGAGCAAAACAGCCATAGCCTAAGATGAACGATACAGAAATATGGACTAGATATAATACAAGACTGAATTGTGAAAAGGAAACCACTGCCTAACAGAGTGGGTGACCTGACACAGGGAGGCAGGGATGCACTCTTGTTGCATGTTAAGTGTAGGAACATCATTATCGTAGCTCGCGTGGACCGTTTTAAAATGCTTCTCCTGGCGCTCCAAATTCCCATTCTTTGACACTGCCATTGGTGAATGGCAGTTCACACAAAGTTGAATTAAAATAATCATAACAATAGATAGGCGGCCCGGTGGTCCAGTGCTTAGCGCAGAGGTCGTGGGTTCGATCCCGGCTCCGGCCTTCCTGCGTGGGTTTTCTCCGGGTACTTCGGTTTCCTCCCACATTCCAAAAACATGCATGGCAGGCTGATTGAACACTCCAAATTGTCCCTAGGTGTGAGTGTGAGTGCGGATGATTGTTCGTCTCTGTGTGCCCTGTGATTGGCTGGCAACCGGTCCAGGGTGTCCCTCGTCTACTGCCCAAAGACAGCTGGGATAGGCTCCAGCTTGCCCCACGACTCTTGTCAGGATAAAGCGATTCAGAAAATGGATGGATGGATAACAATAGATACATCTCAACGTCTCTTATTGCAAGCTACAATTGCTGACTGTCTGCGGATTACCGTTTGATCGCGATCGCCTGGTTGGGCACTCCTGCTACACAGAAATGATATGAAACCCCCCCCAGAAAATTCACTGATGGTCTCAGGCACATTTCATCAGTCAACCCAGTTCACCTTGTATATTTACATCAAAGTCCTTCTCGTCCTCTCCAGCTACATTAGTGGCAATGCAAGTGTAACGGCCAGTGTCGGACACCTGAGCATGTCTGATCTGAACAATGCGACCATTAGCTGTGATGGACACGTGCTCATCTGCCAGCAGAATCTGTTTAGAAGAAGTATCAGTGAGAGAATTGCAGACATAAATACATACACTCAAAAGGAGATGGTTTACCTTTCCGTCCATGTACCACTGCAGTGCTGGGGTAGGAAAGGCCTGAGCTGCACACTCCATCGTAAGTGTGCTGTTGACCTTGACCTTGACTACTTTAGGGGTTAGTCCTTCACTCAGGATATCGTTTTTATCGATTTGTGGGGGAACTAGCGTCAATAAAGAGAAACAACCATGACCGGGTATTGAAATGAGGAGGTGTGAGACAGTTTAAGTGAATAAGGTCCCTTCTACTCTTAGCTTGAACTCACCATATACTTTGACATCGTAGTGCTTGAGACTCTCTCCAGCCTCATTTGTGGCAACACAAGTGTAACGCCCAGCATCCTCTTCTTTTGCATTAAAAATCTGCAGGGTTCGGCCACCTGGGAAAGGATGAACGGAGGAACTTCAGATTAGAAATGCGCACAATGCTCATGTTAGTTACGAGATTTTAACAATGTATCACTCACATCAAACTTATACATACTCTATCAATGTAGGCCAAGTCAGAGAAGTGGCTAAACGTGAAATAACCTTTGGAGGAATTGACAGTATACTTAAAATATAATCACATAAATATAACCTGGAAGAACTCTGGCATTCTGACTGGACTCGAATGATCTGCCATCTTTGAGCCAGGTGATCAGTGCAGGAGGGTACGACTGAACTTCACACACCAGTGAGGTAGGGCTACTCAAGGTAACCGTCACCTCCTCTGCCGAACCATCTGGTCCTGACCCAGCAATGCTGGGAGAAACTGACGGGAATAGAAGCCAGTCAAATAAGAGAACATGACAAGATTTAAAATTCAATAACTTCATGATCCTCAGCAGATTCCTGTCTATGTACCCAAGACATTGAGGTTGAAATGGCGGCTGCGATCCCCTGCAATGTTTGATGCAAGGCAACTGTATCTGCCAGTGTCAGCAACTTGCACAGCAGAAATTAGGAGGTAACGGCCATGAGACAAGACAAGATGGCGTCCGTCTGGCAGGAATTGTTTTCCATCCTTCAGCCATGTAATTTCTGGGATTGGGTTACCTAAAAAAAAATAGTAACAAAGAGACTCAAGTATTTTACAGAGCATGGTGTCGGATGTATGAGGGGTCTCAAAAAAGCTCCAGGACTGGTGTGACAAAAGATAGATTTCAAATCCAAACAAGAAACAAAACATTTTCTCCCCTTCATTGTGGGCCAAACGATTAACCAGCACATCAACAAAGAGATCTTGTGGCTTTTGTTTCATTTCAGTGAGTGAGAAGAGGCTGGAGTTGTGCCGGAACGACTCGTGGCTACTTCATCGTGACAACATGTCCGCTCACAGTATAATCCTGAACATCCAGCAGCTCCAGGCCAAGAAGAATGTTGAAACTCTGGTGCAACCTCCCTACGTGTTTTTCTTTCTCTTTCACAAGATCAAATGATTCATCAAGTGGACCCATTTTGAACAGGATAACATCAAGAAGAACGTGACAAGAGTGCATGAAGGAGTAGCAGACAGGTCTAGGAAAGACTGAGGGGATTATTTTGAGGGGAAACATTTCATTTAGGCAGCTTAGATTTGAAAAATATCTTTTCTGAGACAAATTTGATATAATGTCCTTTACCTGAGGCCTCACAGTTCAGAGTAATGTTGTGCCTCTCCTTCACTTTGGTGTCCGTAACACTTCCTTCTTCTACAATACTTGGTGGAACTGGTTACGAATAGGTAAAAATGTGTTGACAGGTAATCAGTATCTCCATATGTACAAAAACATATTAAGGCAACTAACTATTAATTTACCCAGGACGGCAAGGTCAAAATTCTTATTTTCTTCTCCAGCACTGTTCGATGCGATGCAGCTGTACCTCCCAGCGTCCTCCACTGCAGCATGCATTAGACGTAGGCTGCGCCCACCTAGACGATAAACACACTCAATTTAATAACCATCATTTGTCATTTGACAAGGTTTAGACATTTGTCACTTAAAATATTCACGAAGGGTACACAGTATCTTAAAAGTGCAGAATCCATAATAAAACATTGAGAAATTTGCATGTCAGTCTCTCAGCTGTAAAAACAAGCTTTGCCATCTCTGGAGAGGTTCAACATCGCATAGAATCATCAGAGAATTAATATTACCTTACATTTGAATAGTACCATCATCTCGGAGAATAATGTTCATGAATGGTCTACATACAATACCCGTGTACCGTACACACAGTAAATGAAGTTTACCTGAAAGAACACGAACAGAACTGGTCCCTCTGATTGGTCGACCATCCTTCAACCAGGTGATGGCAGGAAGAGGAATGCCAGAAGCCTCGCAGCTCAGAGCCACCGGGTTCTTCACAACCACACTGACATTTTCGGGGAGCTGAACCTCACCAATGATCGTTGGTGGGACTGGAAAACAGAAAGTAAAAAAGTCAACCGAAGCACAATGCAATTCGACGACACAAAATCGGAGTGACTTCATACCATGCACACTGATGTCATGCTTGTTTTCTGCCTGCCCTGCCACGTTAACAGCAATACAGGTGTAGCGTCCCGTGTCCGAAATGTTAGCATCTTTAATCTGAAGCAGCCTTCCCTCATTCAGAATCTTAGCATTATGGAGGCCTGTGATGGGCCGTCCATCTTTCAGCCAGGTGACCGCTGGCCGCGGCACGCCATCTGCAGCACACTGTAACATCACATCGCCTCCTTTTGTCACAACGATGCCGTCGGCGTCACCCTCGTTGTGTCTGATGGAAGGGCGGACTAAAATGAGAAGAGCACATAGTAAGCGGGGACACGTTTAAGGTATGCAATATTAAATACACATATATGATGTCATATTTCAACCCTCATTTTATTAGACCGGAATAGATTACAGTTACAGTTTCTCATAAATGAATGAATCTTGGCTGAAGCAATAAATAGGTGCCCCAGATCAGTTAGTCTGTACGAACCATAAACCTGCAGGTTGTACTCCTTGGATGTGCTGCCAGCTGCACTGGAAGCCGTACAGACATAGGAAGCTGCGTCTGTCCTCTCAGCATTGGAAATCTGCAGGTGCCGACCCCCTGACAAAACCCTGAGACGCTCGTCAGATGGGAGCACCGCACCTGGAATGCAAGCAGTTACGAACCGTGAATCGAATCTCACGCATGTGCCTTTTAATATTGCATGGATGATTTACTTAGAATTAGTGCGGTGAATAAATAGCAGAATAAAACAAAACAAAACAAAACAAAAAAATCACCCACAGAACATATTGCATCATACCTGTATATAATTAACCGACGGGTAACAGCAAACATTTGATTGAAGAAAAAAAAAGTAAAAGTAAGTGTATTGTACAAAAATACCCTGGCAAACACTCAAACTTACCATCCTTCCTCCAGCTGAGCCTGGGAGGTGGGATTCCACTGGATTCACACACCAGTGTGATGAGACTTCCTTCAATCACTGTGAGTGGTGACACCTCTTCCGAGCCTCGAATACTTGGAGAAACTGTAGTAGCGATAGGTCACCCCAAAAAAATGGTGCAGTACTTAATCAACTTTCAAGGTGTATTTTTACTGAGCTCTAAACAAAACAATCATAGTCCAAAACAATCATAGTCCACATTTCCTAACCCTCTCATTTGCTATATGAGAGGGATGATTTGCATTGTACTGATCTGCATAACACTAATTGTTTGGATGCTTTGCGAACTCACCCCACACATTCACATTATAGTTCTTCTCTGTCTTGCCAGCAATGTTTGTGGCCTCACAGGTATACCTGCCTGAGTCCTGCACCTGAGCACTGACAACCTATCAATAAGAGTCACAGAAAAGCATAAACTCAATACCGAGCCTGATACTGCACATTATATGACGGACACAAATATTGGGAGACCTCATCTTTACACCAACATGCCTTGCCAAAGTCCGGAAATGGAGTGTATGCCCCTCCCTCCACTCTTCTGGAAAGGCTTTCCACAAGATTTTGGAGTGTATCTATGGGAATATTTGTCCATTCATCCAAAAGAATAATTCTGAGGACATGAGAAATGGCCTCACTTACGATCTCTAGTCACTATCCAAAACACTTTTAGGATGCACTAGAGCAGTGGTTCTTAACTCATTCAATCCCAGGCATTTTCACTGGAGCAGCCTCCTCGATACCAGCATTTTACTGGATTTTGACTGATCTTGCAAGGCACACAGAATATTTGGTTCTAATGCTACATAAACATGGAGACTATCGAAATAGAGTTTGGACTCTCTTCTTTCAGCAGAAAAAATAATTTTGTTTCTATCTTTTTCCATTCTTCAGCAATCGGCATTACGAATTATTTAAGTTTCATGGAAATGGCGATTCCTGGGCAAAAAAATGGAGAAAAAGAGCTTTTTGTAAAAGCATGCATTTCAAGCACGTGAGGCACCACTGCCGCCTACTGGTCGCTTTTTTACATGATTTCCAATGCAAACGGCTTATTCTCATTCACAGATTGCATCAGACCATCCTCCTCTCTATGACGCAAAAAAAAGACTTAGACGTACAAGTACGTCCTTGGTAGGCGGGGCCTAATTTTAAAAAGACGTACAAGTACGTCTTGTGGAATGAAAGAGTTAACCTTGTTAGAGGTACCGAACCCAATCAGTTCATATGCACATTCACCGAACCTTTCATTAGTGAAAAATAAAAACATGATTCAAGAAGTGTTCCTTCAGTTTTGAGTTGCTCAACTTGGCATGACAAATCATGTAGATAGGACACGGACTCCCAACTCTTTCTGTGATGCATGTGAATCCATGTTGTAAATATTCGTCTGACCACTTTTTTTTTTTGCTCGACATAGTTAGCATGTATTAAAAAAATTAAAAAAAAAAAAATCACACGACGTACTATCATGACAGTCACTCGTCGATGACTGAGCGAACTAAGTTTCCTGGAGCACTGATTGGACAAGCAATGTAATGCGATCATCTGTAGCCAGTGATGGCCAAGTGGGCGTTTCATAACTAATTGACATGTTGAGTCGGGTGTGTCTTAACCTTCAAGGCAAAGGCTCTGTCGAACCCATAAGACCGATTCACCGAACACCTGGGGTTCGATCGAACCCAGGTTGAGAACCACTGCACTGAGTCTAGTGCATTCTCAGTGTTTGATGGCGTTGAACACACGACTGCCACGTTCTTCCACGCCAAACTTACCCGAGCCAATTCCAATGACTCCCAAGAAATTGAAAACAGATAAATGTCTTCATTTCGGGCAGCATCCATGTACCCATTTTTTATTTGGTGGGTAGGACGATTCTAGACGAATCTCCATGTGTAGACAACCACTGTGTTGCCCTCTTAATAAGATGGTCTAAGGTAGTCGTGTCAAACTCATTTTTTGTCACGGGCCACTTCAGAGTTATGGCTTCCTTCGGCGGGCCGGTGCAAAATCTCATTGTTATTTATTACCCGTGATGATTTGACATTTCCATACAGATTTCAGCAAGAATCATGATATGTGACACACATGATTTGCTCCTGCGGGCCACATAAAATGACGTGGGGGCCGGATCTGGTCCCCGGGCCTTGACTTTAACGCCTGTGGTTTAAGGGGTCAAGCTCAAGCCTTGATTGTTTAATCACTGTCAGTTATTATTTTAATTGATTAAGAAGTTTGTTCCCATAGTGCATGTGAACACTTCAAGCAAATATACAGGACATATACAGCGCATGCAGTACACTTAATATAAAGTGCGAGATAGCAATTTATCTTTTTTTTCTTGTTGTTGTTGTCTGCTGAGGCAGGGGTGTCAAACTCATTTTTATCGCGGGCCACATTGTAGTTACGGTTCCCTTGGAGGGCCGTTATGAATTTGGGGAAATCATATAAATGTTTAATCCGCTCCACATATTACATACACAGCGCACAACAAATTGATGGATAACTAGTTTTAAAATCAGAAGTCAAAAATAATGACTCTTATTGTGGATTACATATGACAATATGAAATTTTGGTATGGACTTTAGCAAGCATCATGGAACTTCACATGCTTGATTTGCTTTCGCGGGCCACATAAAATGATGTAGTAGGCCAGATCTGGCCCCCGGGCCTTGACTTTGAGAGCACTGCAAAGGTATATTTCCTACCTTGAGCAAACTCCCATCTGCTGAGAGAGTCAGACCAGGTTTTTTGAACAGTGGGCGGCCATCTTTGCGCCACGACAGAGTGGGTGGGGGAATGGCATCACTCAGACAGTGCAGGTCCACCGAACTTCCGAGCATCACGGTAGCGTTCATTTCCTCTCCCTTGATGTTGGGCGGCACTGTGGAAGATGTTTGTATATTTTAAAATGAAATGCCTAATACGGGAGACTAGATTATGAAAGGTATGCAAGTACTAAGATTGTCTTATAGTGAATCCCATTAGTTTATAGGTCAGAGTTGTTAAGGGGAGTCCTACGCTTGTATTTCTCTCTTACAATTTATTATCTGAGGGTATGAACTCACTCGATACATGATATTCTAAGTTGGGCAGCTGGGTCTATATCTTTTGCTAAGCTAGCAGCGATAAACTCATTCAACAATGATTTGTGTTTTTAAGGTTTGGGCTGCCTCTTTGCTAAACACCTTATCACTAATCATACGTAATCCAACATCCTGTGTCAAAACTTCCATCTATCCATTGACTGCTTATCCTCATTCGGGTCGCACCCAGCAAGTACATTAAATAACTTTGAATATGCCGTTGTGTTATGGTACTTTTCCGATTAAGTATTGTGCTCTTTATTCTGTTTTTCTATATTCATTATTTCCCCTCCCAAGACACTCTGCTTATTTGTTAAAATGTGGCCTGATTGATAAAATTATTGCAAGGCAATTTCCTCTGGATTATGGACAGAAAAGAGAGCAAGTAGGAACGATTCAAACAGGCCTTCACTCAGTATTTGGTCAGACACAGGAAGCTGCCGAAGAATGGTAGCAATTACCACAGCACATCTTCCGTCATTTCTTAGGACAAACTCTTCTTAATCTTTCAGAGGAAACGCACACCGTGTGGATGTTTGCATTTCGCATACATCCAGTGCTTATTTAAACAGACATGGGAGGGGCCTCCATGATTCCCTGCCGGTAAACGACGTGTCTTATGTTTCCAAAGTGACGTCCGCTTTGATTGGAGTGATATACGCCATCATGTGTTCAACTCCCTGCAGGAAGCTAACAATGTTTATTGAAAGGCAAAGCTTATTCTGGCCACACTTCCTCTCAATACACATGCTTTTCAAGACCCCTGTGACACATCACCGGTGTGATCTGTAGGTCTGGTGGAAGAAAAAAAACGCAGTCCAATGTCAGTAGCAATTTGTCAATAAAACAAAGAATGGAAGGTTGGAAAGAGAACAATGGAACAAGCAGAGCTTTTGCTGCTTGTTCCTCTGTGCTTGCCAAGACCTTTGATCATTTATCATCGTCAAAAGTGTTTTACGGATATTTTGAATACTACATCATAGCACATTGCTGGCATTCCCCCCTACAAAAAAAAAAAAAAAAACAACCCAGATCAGATCAATGTCAGATCCTGAATAAAAACTATTTGATTAACAAGAGAGGCATGGCATGGATCAGTGGCAGAATGGAAGTCTCGCAACTCAGAAGTTGCGGGTTCAATCCCCAGCACTGCATCTGATCATGTCGAAATGTCCTTGAGCAAGATACGGAACCTCCAGCTGTTCCTGATGTAGTGCTTTGAGCACCCTGAAGGTGGGAAAGTGTTCTAAAAGTGAAAGCCCATTGAAACCAATAGCTGTGTTTCTCAATTTCTTCATCAGATAAAGGACCACTCATACATTTTCAGTTCATCACACCAACATCACATTTTCAACCTCATCCATCTTTACAGTTAGTCCATCACTCTGCGTGACTCTTTTGACATTTGGAGAAGAATGGCGCGAGTTACGACAAGACATTTAAAATCTACCAGCTGTTCCGGCCTCTGAGCCGCTCTTTTTTTCCCCACGCTTTGAACCCTGTGACTTTTAATGTGACTCGGTTTACTTTGGACTTTTTACTGACGAGCTTCAAGCTGCCAATAGATTTAACCATAATCTCGTCACATCTGACCAGTGAAATTACTCAACACGTCACAGTGGACCAATGAAACTGTCGGAGTTCACCCTCAATCCTCTTATCAGTCATTTGCGATTGGAGTGCACACGCGTGGGCGAGGGGTGGGTTGCCTGAGAGAAAGGCATGAAAGTGTGTGTGCAATGCGGCGCGGGGCTGCAAAGAGAGGCATCATGAGTTGAGTTTAAGGAGCACTGGGAACAAGTGCCACAAATCCAAACATCTCTGCAGTGCGACCCCCCCATCACTCTGTTGTTTGGTGGGCTACTGATGCCCACCATCATTGGCAAAGAATAACTAGCAAAGAACAATAAAGCTTAAAACATAGAAAAAAATAAAAATAAAATAGGTGTGGCATGGGACCTTCTAAAATTAAAATAATAAAATAAAATAATAAAAAATAATGCACCCACAAAAATCTCGTGGGCCACCTGACTTTTCACCACCAGTGATACATGGACCAAACTTTGACGGACACTTTTAATAAGTAAGACATGGTACTAGTGTATATCACTTCAGAACATATTAAACAACCGATAAATGGTGATGACTCACCATAAACCCTCAGATCATAATCTTGCTGTTGCTCTCCTCCAGCATTGACAGCAACGCAGGTATACCGGCCCATGTCACCAACCTGTGCACTCCGCAGAGACAGCACCTTGCCACCAGACAAGACCTGTGGGACAGCCGCAGTAAGCGAGTGTGTCTGTGTAATTTACTTGGATTCAAGGGTTGATCATAATAATAATAATAATAAATCTGCTCTCTTGTATTTATTCATACTGTACAGTGCATTACATTTAACACTGCCAACTGTCCAAGTTCCAATGCATGTTTGGCGTCTATAGCCGTCCGTCTTTGGGAGTGAATGAGTTAACTCAAACTTAGAATATCATTGTGAATACTCAACACATTTTTAATGTTACATGCAAATGTGAGGCAAGTGTAGCCTATTGCTTACCGTTGAAGACACGACACAATAACATACCTATTCAGGAATTTTGGCCGCAACCAAGATATGCGTTACATAATGTTGTTTGTTAAAATATAATAAAAGATACAAAAACAAACAAAACAAAAAACCTGTGTGCCATGGGATACACTCGTCACAGGGCTGCCATCTTTGAGCCAGGTGAGACTAGGTAAGGGCACTCCCGTAGCCTCGCATTCCAGTCTGCCAGGCTCGTTCACGACTACTGTTACTGTGCCACCTCGGCTTGAGATGACCGGCGGCACTGCATAAGAAAGTTGAAAAACCTTTCACTGCACACATTCATAACAGCAGTCTGACGTTCGTAGGGACACAAACAAATGAAAGCATCCGTTGTAACTGGCAAATCCTCCCAAAAAAGACACTGACCGAACACCTGCAAGCTGTGGGATATCTCTGCAACTCCGGCCAAGTTGACTGCTATGCATCTGTATATCCCTGCATCCGAGAGCTGAGCTCTTTCAATCTCCAACACCTGGCCACGTTTCAGCAGAGTCATCCCAGCTGCACTTGTCAGCGGTCGACCGTCTTTGGACCATGTTATCGCTATGACACAAAGAAGCCGGTGTGAATATTAAGAGGCAAGCATTTGCGGTGATATTACGCATCAAGTTGATTAGTTGTATGAAAGAGTGGATGCCTGTAGTAATCAATGCATGCTGAGTGGAAAAAATGCTCAAACATTTTAGTCGTATGTAAAAGAATCATTTTAATTTCCAAGGTGTTTGAATATGGTTGCTGTGGGATTGCCAACATTTGGGGTCCTACTTTTGTGCCGAGCACAAGTCTAACAAGACGCAGTCCGCAAGTTTTGTTTCCAGTGGTATTTTGCTTGACTTTATACAGCTCGACTGGGCATAACGGGGCCTGTGCGCCATTGTGGAATGGAAGTAATCTTTTCCCGGCCAATCCTCGTGGCATCCCTCATTTGCAACAAAATCAGGGCATTCCGAGCGCAGTATGCCCAGATACGCTGTGTTAAACATTGCGGGAACAGAAATATTCTAGCGAGGGTCCGTGCATGACATTGGCAGGTAAACTGCAAGCTCTCCCTTTGCGAGTAATAGTTGGCCATATATGTGACATGGGCAATTGGAGACCGCCTTGCACACCGGATCATATGTCTGAGACCAAACCCTTACCCCCCACACAATAATGGCGCGGGTCTATTCAATAGTTTTCATATGATAATGATTATAATCTGTTCAATGACCCGATTTATTCACTTATTCAGAGAGAATGTCCCACGTTGCTGTCATATCCCCACTGTGGGACAAATAAAGGATATCTTATCTAATATTTATGAATGGAATAGCCTGACGTCCACCATACAAGTCTGCACAGTGATGAATTTGTCTGAATGCGCTTCGAGACCTGTTTTTCTCCGAGTATACAATCTGGTCTCCATTTTGAAACCAAGTTTGCAGATGCGCTGGAGGAATGGCCAGTGAGGTGTTGCACATCTACCAAATTCACAAACACGCTCAAGTAGACCATTGCACCGGCATGAAAATTCCGATTACATTTTTACGCCGAGCGCAGACTACTTTCTATTATCAAATTGTCAGACGACCCGTCTGACACTTTGGTGGACTAGATTTGTGTTGGCATGAAAATGAAGTTACACCTGTTTTTACACCGAGTGCACGAGTGTCAGTCTACCAAAATACGGTCCATGGGTTGAAGATCATTATTGATCAAACCGCACCATAACAGCATGCTCGATTTTTCTTCCTATGGCAAGGAGTGACAGTATTTCACAGTATTTGCATGCAATTTTTGAGGGTAGTGAAATTTTAATATGCGTGTTCAATTTGAGCCAGAGGCAAAAACAAATATTTAGTCAAAACTCAAAATCATAGTTTGTTGCCTTGATTTTAAGAGCTGAATTATGTCTCAAAAGTTAGATGTAGATGTGTAATATAACATTTTTACACTTTATTATTTCACAGACCCCGGTAGATCTGGAATGCAACATTAGATCCAAAATACAAACACATCCCCAGAAAAGTCTTCAATTATCTGGAATATGAGTGGCTATCGGTAGAGTGCATGCTACAGTGCATGGAAAGAATTGCAGTGGGAATGAAGTCACCAGTGCGGAGTCATCTGAGATCAATTTTCTGCTGATACATCGATGGAAAAGCCACGGCTACAGCACGGGTCAGTCGAAATTGTGCCTTTGAACGAGAGAAGAGAGGAGGGCGTTTGTGAGTCTCACCAGGTAATGGACTGCCTGCGGCCTTGCACTCAAGCTCAGTCGAGAAGCCTGATAGGATGGTCTGGTTGATGATGTCTCCAGGGGCTGAGATCGTGGGGGGCACTGTGAAAAATATACATCCGCACATGGTGAAACATAAGCACAACGCAACAGATGAGAGAAGAGAAATGGATGACAACAAACGAGAGGAAACAAGATCCACTCGATATTGTTCCCTTACCATGGACACTGAGGCGTATGTTTTTTTGAGCTTCACCGGCAGCATTTGTGGCCAGACAAGTGTATTTCCCAGAATCCTCTTGTCTAGCCCCTAAGACCTTTAGAACTCTGCCTGCTGACTCGAGCTGGTGTACAAAACCACACACACACACACACACACACACACACACACACACACACACACACACACACACACACACACACACACACACACACACACACACACACACAAGAACAAACATATCTGATTACAGTCAATGTTAAATTGTGAAAGACTTTCTTATTTGTGTCAACAGTCGCAGCGACTCGAAAACATATTCATACACCTTGAACTTTTTCACATTTTGCTACCTTTCAACCACAAACCTCAATGTTTTATTTCTTGAGATTTTATATGATCAACCAACAAAAAGTAGCACAGAATTGTGAATTGGAAGAGAAATAATTCACGGTCTGCCTGATTGGATGGCGAACTTCTGAGAACAGTGTTTTCTTTTTTCTCAAGTCTTGCCACAGATGTTCGATGGAATTTAGGTCGGGCCATTATAACACGTGGCTATTCTTTCATCTAAACCATTCCATTGAAGCTCTGGTTTTCTGTTTAGGATAATTTTCCTGCTGTAAGATGAAGAGCCTTCCCAATCTCAAATCTTTTGCAGTGTCCAACAGGTTTTTGTCCAGCATTGCCATGTCTTAGCTTCCCATCAACTCTGACCAGCTTCCCTATATGAAGAAAAGCAAGCCCAAGGCATGACGTTGCCATCACCATGTTTTAAGGCGGGTATTCTGTATTCAGGGTGTTTGAAATATGGGACGTTTTCAGACACAAACGGCACTTTGCATTTAGGCCAAATAACTCAACTTTGGTTTCATCTGACCAAAACATCTTGTTTTGCATGTTTGTGGTGTCCCCCAAATGGCAAATGGGACTTCTTATGCCTTTCTTTCAGCAATTTCTTCCTGCCACTCTTCCATACAGGCCACATCAGTCGAGTATATAACTTCTAGACAAGGCAAGGCAGCTTTATTCATATAGAACATATCATGCACAAGGCAACTCATTGTGTTTCACACAAGGACACAACTGCTAAAAGCATTTTTAAACACAACAATTAACGGCATTCAGAAGTAAAGCAGAGAAGACAAAAATAGCTTTAAAGATTACAAATAGAACATAAATTCATAACAAAAAATCTTTAAAAAGTAAAATGAATAAAAATGGGTTTCTAAAATAGCTAAAAGAAAAAACAGAATTATCAGGCCATGCTCACATTGAAAAGGAAAATGTGGAAGGAAATGGTCACAGCCGGCCGTATGTAAAAAAGAAATAAAAAGTATCCAAGAGAAGTCCAGAAAAGAAAAAAAAAACAGCTATCAGCAGAAGGAATGCAGGCAAATGCAGGAGCGGAACAGCTGGCGTCTCCAAACTATGTGGCAGGAAGCAGACAGATTGAACGACCTGAGCTGTGGATTTTTGCATTTGACATTTCGGGACAGACTTTAGCAAGGATCATGGAAGTTGACACATGAATTGCATGTGCGGGTCACATAAAATGATGTGACAGGCCGGATCTGTTCTTGACTTTGACACCTTTGGTCGATAAGATATCTTAACATAATACACTCAAGTTTGTCATTGTATGGTTAAAAAAATGTGAAAAGGGTATGAAAAAAAGTTCAAGGGGTATGAAAATATTTTCAAGGCAGTGTTATCATACGCATCGTCCTTTCGCTCTGCTGGTGAAATAAGCACACAGTAGAACAAATAAACAATGACTATTTGTCATCCTCAAATAATCCATTCATCAACCTTTAAGTGCTCCTGTGATGTATCAACAGGTCGACCATCTTTAAGCCAGGTCATGGTTGGTGCAGGGATGCCACTTGAGATGCACTCCAGATTGATTGTTTTGTGCAGAACAACCGCACGCTCGGCAGTCCCAGTGGAACGAATCGATGGAGGAACTGGAATAGTTCAGAGGGGAGACTCATTGTCTATTTTGTCGAACAGGAGAAGAGTCAAAATGGCAATTGGACAAAGCAGAAAAAGAAAGCGAATAGAAACAATGACCCAAATATTTCCCCCAGTATGCATTTCGAGTGTACATTTTTTCATTACAATATGTAGACAAAAGACTTAATACACAACATTATTCCTTATTTCGATTTGAAGAAACTATTACCTTGTACAACCACATTGAAGTCCTTCTCTTGGTCTCCTCCTTCATTGGTAGCCACACACTGAAACCGACCCGTGTCAGAGACCTGAGCACGGGGGATAATCAGTCGCCAGCCGTTGGCTGCAAGTCGCATCCCTTCGCCATATCTGACTAACTGTCCATCTTTATACCACCTGAGGATGGAAATTGTTACAATGACTTTGTTCATTCTATGTAACAAGTGAAAAAAATCCCGCGCCGAGGTCTTACGTTATTGCAGGTGCAGGTGTTCCAGTGGCTTGGCATTCCAGCTCCAGAGGGCTGTTGACAATTATGGTGCTGTCAGTCATCTCGTCTCCTCCATCAATAGAAGGCGGCACTGAGGGCATTTTTTAAAGATAAATTCTTCAGTTTGGGATACTCAGAATGTGCAAATCTTCAGGTATTTGTGATGGGCCTTATTTCACACAAGACTGTATCAGTTATATTTGCAAAGCCTTGTATTATTTTATTATTGGTTGTCTGTTATGGTTTCCCGGCTGCGGCCTCTCTGTGTGGAGTTTGCATATTCTCATGCCGACATGGGTTTTCTCCAGGTACTCCCACTTTCCAAAAACATGCATGGCAGGTTAATGGAACACTGTAAATTGTCCCGAGGTGTGAGTGCGAGCGCGGATGGTTGTTCGTCTGTGTGTGCCCTGCGATTGGCTGGCCACCGGTTCAGACCGCCACCCTTGTGGGGATAAAGCGGATCGGAAAATGGATGGATGGATGTCATGGTATCATAAGCTCAAATTTGTTGCATCTGCACTGTACAACGTGACAATAGAGACTTTGTATTTTATTTTGTGGTTGTTTATGTGCCCTCTAAACAAGGTTGGGTTGAGCTTGTCAAAATAACAAAGTATGTTCACACGCACATGCATGTACTGTGATACAGCAAAAGGCTCATTAAATGAGATATGACGCTTTGATTGCTTCGCTGACACTTGGTAAACTGGAGCAAATAATAAGGTGATACGTCATTTATGGTAACTTGACATCATTTAAGGAGATTGCGAGCATATTTGAAAGAGTTTGATACTATCGCTATACTGTACAGTGATCCCTCGCTATTTCGCGGTTCGTTTATCGCGGCTTCAGTGCATCTCGGATTTTTTCAAACATATAAAAAAAAAAAAGTTTAATTTTTTTTTTATACATGGAGTACAGTACTGTATATGTTGCTCTATGTGACTCAGTGTTGTTTTGCAGCTTCTCGCGGACTGTTTGCGGACTTTTTGCGGACATAAAAATAAAAAGGTGTTTTTTTTTTTTTACCTGTATATGTTAATTGGTTGCTACTTCGCAGATTTTCATTTATCGTGGGTAGTTTTGGTCCCCATTAACTGCATAAACGAGGGATTACTGTATATCGCTATGCGTTAGCAACCGGAAGTTAGCACACCTCCGTATGCAAGAATTCTGCTTACATAAATATAATCCACTGTATCAAATAAATGCATTATTGTATAATAAATCCAAAATACTAATCCACACAGTATTGTATATTATGCGCGCCACATCGACTACCACACAGATATTTGCGCATACCCAAAACTCTGACGTCATACGTGACTTCCGCCTCGCCAGCAATGCTTGTTGCCACACAAACGTAGCGTCCTGAGTCCGACACCATGGCTGACATGATTTCAATTTTCCTCCCTTGGTCAAGGACTCGCACTTTGTCTCCGTGTTGGACTGGAACGCCATCCTTCAGCCAGGTAAGGGAAGGGGGAGGGTAGCCACCAGCCTCACACTCTAAGATGAGAGGCTTACTGAGAACCACCTTTTTTTCAGAAGTTCCGCTCTGTCCTCCTGCTATGGACGGAGGCACTGTCGATGGAGGATGAATCAGGAGAAAAAGTAGAGTAATTGTAGAATTACTACTTTATATTCACTCTCACACTCATGAAGTGAAAGAATACGGTTAGTATAAAACTGAAGGAAGTCATCATAAAATATTGATTTCTTACAGTAGATATCAAGCTCAAAGATCTTTTCCGCGGTTCCGGAGACACTGGTAACCTTGCAGGTGTACTGGCCAACATCTGATGCCTGCACCCGAGGGATCTTCAGGAAACGCCCCTGTTCTACGTACTGAGACTGGCGGCTGGAAAGGATGGCCTCTCCTTTTCGGAACCAGGTGATGATGGGGAGTGGCACTCCCCGTGCCTCACACTCAAGCGTGACGAGTGTGTCCAGCAGGACGGTAACTTCTGTTGTTTGGTTACCACCTCTGATGGATGGGGGAACTTGGAATAAAAGAACAAACAAACAAAAAAAAAACCATGAAGTTGGAACATGTCACTTGCCGCGGGATATTTGTGTCTGACCAAATTCATAACAATGTTCTAGGTGCACTTTCACTGGTTAAAACCAGTCTATCTTCATTAACCCTGAGCAATAAATCCTTCTTTGGAGACGTGTTGTGACGTACTTCACACACATTTTTATATCATGCCTTTGTAAAACCATATTAGATGCTGCTGAGACATTTCCCAAATATTTTGTCCTGCCATCTCATGAAAAAGAAAACAATGGGAATGGCTGACCCCAATTTTTCAGTTAAACACTCACCATACACCTTGAGATTGAAGTCCTTGGACTGTTTGCCAGCTGTATTCATGACGCTACATTGATACCTCGCCTGGTCTCCTAGACGGGCACTCTTTATTCTTAACACTTGCCCATGGTCCATGACCTCCAAGTTTGGATCCCCAAGAAATACCAGCCTAGAAACACAAAATAGCATGATTGAAAGGGAATGATTAAAGAAGGCCTTCATTCACGTTGACCATTCATAATGTTTTGGGGTACTGACCTTCGATCCTTGTACCACTGGATCGTGGGAAATGGCACTCCTTTTACTTTGCACTCCAACCTGATCTCCTGTTTGAGAATTCCAGACATATCTTGGGGAGAATCGGACCCCGCAACGGTGGGTGGGACTGTGACACAGAGGACATATGGTTAATGAATCATTCACCCCCACCTATCATATCATACTGTATATCCTGTCTGGGAAAGATGCAGCCCACCGACCAAGATTTTAAGCAAGATCCCATCCTGGAGCATCCTGCTTATCAAAACCAGCATTGTGCTGCCCAATTATTAATAAACAGCACTTTTGTTTCCGTATGATTTATCTGCTTTTACTCACCCAGTACGTCCACAAAGAAGTCTTTTTGTGTGCTGCCAGCAATGTTGAGGGCTTTACAGGTGTAGCTGCCCGCATCTGCTGTCGCTGCCTTCAGTAGTTTTAAGGTTTTCCCCTTATCGACAATCTGAATGTTGTTACTAGCCTCTACCTGTAAGACAACATAATGGATTATGAAACATACATTAAAAAAAGTACAAAAGGACATGCCATTAATTACCTATACTTTTCTCAGCTACTCAATGTTGTTTTGCTTTTTTCCATGTAACAAAAATATCAAATACTAAGTTTGGTGTTGAAATATTTGTATGCTGTTCATTTGTTGAACTACTTTTGTAAATAGCTTATTTATTGTCTGAGCTTCTAAAACGCTGGATTACATATCCATTGTGGGCTTCCTGTGCATGTTCGAATCCTACCAACAACAATTTCAAGAAAATCTCCGCTCATCCAGTCAATTGATAGAATGCTCATAAAAGACTACTTGGAGATACTTACAGCAAAAGCCTAGAGAAACTATGAAAGGTGGCGAATATAAAATATAAATAAATCGTTGAGTTTGTGCAGGTTGATTTTGCTTACAAGAATTCCATCTTTGTACCAGGTGATGACTGGCATCGGGCTTCCTGTTATATCACAGGCCAAATTGGTGGGCTGGTTCTGAACCACAGAAAAGTTTCCTGATGTGTCACTGTCACGGAGTGTTGGGGGAACTGGGAAACATTAGGTTTGGTTATAATAGGAGATGCAATCAGGAGAGGTTTTAGGAGTAATGAGCAAATTAATTGGGTCAGTCACCATTGACTTTGAGCTGATACTTCCTCTCTGTGGACCCAGCATCATTTGCGGCAGCACAGACATACTCCCCCTCGTCCAGCGGTGACAAAGATGCCAGAATCAACATCGTGCCATCCTCCAGAATAGACACACCGGGCTCGTTACCGGTAAGTTCCTGGCCATTACGTAACCATCGAATCACTGGCTTGGGAAGCCCTGCGACGACAAGGGGAGAAAAAGAGGCTCAGTGTACTTAAGATACTTTTGAAAAAAGCGTATGCACCTTCAACATAGACATGATTAGTGAATGAATAACCATAGCTGATTACAGTGATGTACCTTTGGCAGGGCAAGGGAAGGCTATTCGTTGATTTGCAACTCTCTCCTGTAAGTGACTATTGAATGGGGGCTCCAAAACTTCAACCACTGGGGGAACTGCAATTAAACACAGGGACAGTTACACACCACAACGAATAAAAAAAATCTACTGTGGCCAAACAGTTAACAAAATTGACCAAACTAAGTTGTGTTTGTCACACTCAAATCGGGCATATATGTGTGTGTTGCTCCTGAAAATATGATTTCCAAACAATAAAGAGACCTGCGGCATTCGTAAGTACATCTTGAACACGATATCCGCTGATTAAGCAATATTTGAAAGTAACCTTGTATTAGCAGTTGCACTTGAGCTTCATCGCTGCCTGCAATGTTGACTGCTGTACACGTATAAGTTCCTTCATCTCCCAGCCCCACTGGGCCCAAAGCGAGACTGCCATCAGGGGACATCGGATACGTCTTGCCATCCTTTGTCCAGGAAAGGCTGGGCTTCGGTACACCTTGCACGATGCACAGAAGCTCGACAAGATGACCCATCTGGACTTTCATGACCCTGGGACCCGCCTGGATATTAGGGGGCACTGATGGGGAGAGGTCAAGATTAAAACATCTGAACCTGTATGCTACTTATACAATTTAATCAGTCCGTTCTGGACAAACAGTGGGAAAACCTGGCAGGAAATTTAAAAAATAATAATATAAATGAAAGCACATCCATATATCAGCCTTAAGAGTTTCTGCTCTTCAGGGAAGACTTTATTATTATGGAAGACAGAAAGAATTACGGTACTTCACATGTCTAACCGAATAATGGCTTTTTTTCATTATGAGGTGTGTCACAACACTTCAATATTAATTCAAATAAATTAGAAAACCCAGCACTTTGGAATTAAAATGTTTATGTATCATTGACGATTATACTATGACTGAATCTCCAATTCATGTAAAATGGTTTATTTGCTTGTACTGTTGCTGAATGGGTTAACACAAACTTACCCAGAACACTCAATTCAATGGATTGAGTTAGATTGCCAGCAATGTTGGAGGCAACGCATACATAGAGTCCACTGTCTGACACTTTGGTCTCGAAGATTTTCAGTGACCCTGAGGGGAGCTGATTGTGTCTGAAAGCAGCACAATGACATTTAAAGCTAGTTAACTCATTAAATGCAGCGTGAATATGAATAGAAATAGTCTGTATACCATGTACAGAACAGACAATGTTGCATACTGCTCAGATAATGTCAATGCAGCTACCCTACTAAGCATTACTTATTGTACGGGTGCCATATTTCGCAGTTATGTTGTACTATTTCTCCATCATCCAGTACTGTCGATTGAGCACATGTATCTGACAAACCTCATTTTTTCACCGTGTAGATCACAGTGACAATGACTATATTCTATCCTAACACCATATACTGTATACATATTGTGTGTGTGAGTGTGTGGTCAAAAAAATTTATGTTTTACCTTGGCGAGTAAGGAGAGATGAGTTGTCTCTCCCTGGCCCAGCTAATGGAGGGAGGGGGGACACTATGTACTTCACATAGTAAAATTGCATCTTCACCCTCAATCACTGACATCCTTGTTGGGACAGAGGAGACTCTGGCGCCACTAGTATTGGACCTCGGGCGTACTGGAAACGCAAATGGTAAAGAGTGTCAATCAATCAAAAAAAAATGCCATTTACTATTGTATGCAGCCTTTCATTTAGAATCACATAATGTTCCAGTTTTCTCAGCATTTTGTTAATACAGGTACATGTTTGTCAAGTTCACCCTGCTTCTCCCTCTTTGCCTGCTTTTTGGGGTCCTCCACCATGTACATGACAATTTAATCATGAAGGCTCATTGTGTATTTGTAGCCAACTTAGTCATTTTGATATAATTATAATATAGCTAATATAGATACATACAGCATGTGTTGCCCTCATTATAAGGCTTATACAGTATACGGGCTTTTATTTTTTTTGCGGCTCCAGACATATTTGTTTTTCGTTTTTTTGGTCCAATATGGCTCTTTCAACATTTTAGGTTGCCGACCTCTGGTCTAGCTGCATCATTATAATGACTCCATAAATCCCACCATTTATTTTCCCAAGAGTTTTCACAAGAACACATTTAATGATATGATTTAAAACATATTGTTGAATCAGTGTCTGTAGCATTTGAGGTTTTCCGCCAAATTTAGGAAAAGTGAGCATAAGTGTGTTATGGTTGAAAGCCTCTCTTTTTGCAAAAGCATTACCAAAGACAGTTAGCTGGACTTTTCTTGAGGTATGACCAGCAGCATTGGCAGCTGTGCAGAGGAACTCTCCTGTCTCATTTCCAGAGGGTGAGGCAATGAGCAGGCTGCCATCAGAGTCCAAAGAGAAGGCTGGACCACCCAAGTTTACAGGCTCCCCACCCTTCAAAATAGATCACAAAAGAATGAATGGAAGGACCCGCTGCTCAAATCAGATTTCAACTAAAAAGAAATTCGGAATAAAAAAAAAAGTCACACAATTAAATGAACCAAAACCCAGTTAACATTTAGGGCATGGCATTCCAATTCGGAGGGACTCCACACAAAGGCATATGTCAATGTGGCGCGGACCAGACAAGCTAGTTTACAGTCACCCAGGTAGTTTAATGGTACAAACACATGGGGAACAAACATGGGGCCTCACACAGACATGCCGGAATATTGAAATTCCAGAGTAGATTTTGAGTCAAAATTGATTTCCAGGCATGTGACGCTCAAAAACCTCTGGAACTCTTCAACTGTAGCTTGAGATATTGAACATACACATGCAATATCTAATGCATATTAGTAGCCCATACAGAGATAATTGCTGCCTAACGCACACAAAAAGGAAACAGCAGCAAAGTATTTTGAGCTAAGCCAAAAACACATAGCAGTTAACATCAGTGTGGTCTGCTTGCTAAATGACCTGCAAGGGTACCTCAACACATGACCAGGCCTCATCGTCTTGCATGGGCCAGGGAGCATTTACACTGGACAAGATACTAGTGGGCCTCAGTGCTGTTCTCTGATGAAAGTCGATTCACGTTGAGCAGAAATGATGGCCACCAACGATGTTGGCGATGCCAAGAAGAGCACTGCACATGAGCCACTGTTATCACCAGATGAGCTTTTGGTAGTGGCGGTGTTACAGTGTGGGCAGGTGTGCCCAGTCTGTACAGAACTGCCCTACACTTGGTAAAGTGACAAGCCCATACGACCTGAATAACATTATCAATCCAGTGATTGTGCCCCTACATGAACAACATGGGCCTCATTTCATCTTCACGGAACGACAATGCTCCTCCAGCTCATCAAGGTCGCATCATCAATGAACAGCTGTTGAGAACTGGTGTACCTCAAATGGAATGGTCTGAACTTTCTTCAGACCTGAATCCTATTGAAAACCTGTGGGATCAGCTGAGTCGCCATGTAGAGGCTCAAAACGCTGCACCCCAGAACCTCAATGATCTGGGGGTTACCCTTCAAGAAGAGTGGGATGCCATGCCTCAGCAGACAATAAATGGACTTGTGAACAGCATGAGACATCGTCGTCGTCAAGGTGTAATCGATGCTCAAGGGCACTTGATGAGTTATTGAGATTAAACATCTCAATAACTCATCAAGTCATTTTTTGTTGTAGTGTACCCACTATTGTTGTTGACTTTTGTTTCAATGAATTGTTTGAGATGAGGAAATCACCAGTGCATCCTTCTACTTAAATGTCCTACTTTCATGTCGCGTGAACCTATTACATTTTCCATAAATTTCACTTGAAAGCCAAATAAGAAAATGATGTAAATACCATTACAGACCTTAGACCAGGTGATCTCAGGTGTGGGTATCCCGCTGGCACGGCAGGGCAGAGAGATGGGTGTCCCCTCAATCGTGCTGAACACTTGAGGGCCATGTTGAATGGATGGAATCACTTAATAGCAAAAACAAAGTTGGAAAGTCATTGCAATCACTTTGTGGATAAACCATTTTAACATTACTGGGATGTCTTGCATCTCAGAAGCATCTGGAGAATGTCTTTCCCTTCAGTGAAAACTTGGCAAAGGTAATTCATTTTCCTTTTCTTTCCATCTTGTTACTATCCCGTAATCGCAACCCGATTTATTTTTTTCTAGTCACAGACCACATTTCTTTAGACCACTCACGTCTTGGATGTTTTTGGGGAAACAAAAAATAAAATAAAATAATGAAAATAAATTTGACTATAGAAAAGGATGTGATGTGCCAATGACAGATTTAAGATATCAGGGCATACTTTTGCCCTAATCTTTGATTACTCCAAAAACAGGTGTGGCCAACATTATTTTAAACATCACATTTTTTTTTTTTTTACTTCGCTCACCTATCACTGAAACACAAAAATTTTGTCTGTCACAAGTGTTACACTGAACTAACAGAAAAGGGGAAATGCTCTTGAATGGATTAATGCATTCATTTATTTATTGAAAATTTGGTTGTCACAGCAGCTTCATTATCCTGGCATCTGTCCATTATTTTTGTTTTTGGCCAATTCTTAATGGTCACTTTTTTTTTTTTTTACATCACCTTGTCAAGCATGAAACTATGGGCTTCATTTTATTTCCCTTTCAATTTGCTATTCTTCATGTGTTTTCTATTTTTGCGGCTATCTAGGCAACTGGGGGCGGCGGGGTTGACGTAATTGTAAGCACATCCACTTCACAGTTCTGAGGTTTGAATCGAGGTTTTGGCATTCCTGTGTGGCGTGGAGCATGCTCTCCTTATGCTTGCGTGGGTTTCTTCATGACCTCTGGCTTCAGGAGATATTCCGAAAACATGCATTTATCCATCCATGTCTCATGCATCTATTTTCAACACCACTTATCCTGAACAGGGTCGCGGGGGGTGTTGGAGCCTATCCCAGCTGACTTCGGGTTGAAGACACCCTGAACTGGTTGCAAGTCAGTCGCTGGGCACATATAGAGACAAGCAACCATTCACACCCACAACCACACCGGCACTGAGTGGGAAGCGATTCCACGCTGCCCGCTCACAAGTCAGGCGAGTGTACCACTACACCATCAGCGACATGTGCATTTATTATTATTATTATTATTTTTAAATGCAACACCTTTCAACATTTTAACCTCTTTTAACCTTCTGATGCAGGCCATGTTCTGGATTTATTATTAGAATACATTGTGGGCCAATAAAAATCTTGCAGCAAGCTACAAGTGGCCCCAGGGCCAAACCTTTGCCACCCTAATTTATACATCACGTATGATTGACCAATGTAAATGTAAGACCAGTGCACTGAAAAAAAAATCAATGATTATAAGGCCCAAACACTTGTTGTGAAATGTGTACAAAAATGTGTTCCAAGATTACCTTTCAAGTAATTTTATTTTTTCTTGCTCCATGCTGTAGCCTTCCACCCTATTTGTGGAAAATTGGCCTTGAAAATGCTTTCAAAGAGATGTGGGGGAGAAACTTCTCTCCTTCAGCAGAGGCAATTAAATACACAGATATTTTGAGTCAAAAGCAAAACATGTTGGCTTGCATCACAACCCCCAAAAGTTAAAGATAATGTGTAACCTATGGCCTTCACCATCTTGTATGCCATATCCACCATATCCATCCATTTTCTATTCTGCTTGTCCAAATCCGGGTCTTGGGTGAGCTGGAGCCAATAAGCACTGATACATTGCACTTGGTTAGCCCACCCCCAACTGTGGGGTAGGGCACAGGAGGGAGCAGAGACGATGGTTTGGAGGAGGAGGAGGAGGAGGAGACGAGTAGCAGCTCAAAGAAGGCTATGGGTTCAGCAGATTCTCATGGCAAAGATATTTGCCCTGGGTTCCAGAGATCGGGATACTGGCACATCGCATTACAGTGAACCCTCGCTATGACATGGTACACCTTTCACAGCTGTGCTGTTTCACAGATTTTTTGAGTGCAGGTTTTTTTTTTTTTTTAAACAGTGCATTTTATTCTGCATCTTGATTGGCTAAGGAACTGTAGACCAATGTCAATAGCCTCCAAGCAACGTCTCTGTACAGCTTGCCGAATTTACATGGGCAGCAAAAACAGGTTTTGTGGAGGAGATGAGTAGCAGCTCAAAGAAGGCTATAGGTTCAGCAGATTCTCATGGCAAAGTCATTTGCCCTGGGTTCCAGAGATCGGGATACTGGCACATCGCATTACAGTGAACCCTTGCTATGACGCGGTACACCTTTCACAGTTGTGCTGTTTCACAGATATTTTGAGTGCAGGTTTTTTTTTTTTTTTTTTTTTTTTTTTTAAACAGTGCATTTTATTCTGCATCTTGATTGGCTAAGGGACTGTAGACCAATGTCAGTAGTCTCCAAGCAGCGTCTCTGTACAGTTTGCCGAATTTACATGGGCAGCAAAAACAGGTTTTGATCTTTGGTTTCATTCTACAGTACAGTATTGTATTGTGTAATAAAAAATAAAAATAAAGCTGACTGTAACGGTTGTGATTCTAAGTTCATGGTAATATTAAAATAATGTACCTTTCTACATGACAATATATCTTATTTGCAGACTCCACATTTGTTTCGGTTATTGTGCCCCATGCTGTTATATTTGAGGGTTGCATTGATTAGGAGTTAAGTCAGTTTGAGGAAAGAGATGAAAGCGTGAGCTCAGTGCTTCGATTTCTTGTAGTTGCTCCGAAATTTCAGTTTAGAAAGTCAAAACGGTATGTGGGCATGACTAACGTGTGTTTTATGTTTTTGAGATGCATGTAGGTATGTTGTACATTGTGTAATTGTATATTTTTGTCCTAGTTTTTCACCCAAAAATGGTGTTCATCAGAGATGAACGTGTGGACAATAAAGGCTGCTGAACATTGGTCGACTCCTCATGTCTTTCTAAACGAGGATGAAAACCTTTAGGAGCAGGTACACGGATTACTCCACGGATTGCGTCTATCGAGGGTTCTTTTTGGAACGTAACACCCGCAATAAACGAGGGTTCACTGTGACAAATTCTTCCATGCTTTTTTTCAAAGTAGATCTTTGCTAAAATCTCTTGGTCGTTACGTAAAATTCACTCACCAACCAGTTACTGCCACATTGCGCTGCATGCAAAATGCCCATTTATGAATTTGGGCAAATGTGTGAGGAAGCTGGAATATGAGAAATCCCACGGACACATGAGGAAAAACATGCAAATTCCTCACAAGTAAGGCGGTAGTAGAGATTCAAACCTCAAAACTGTGAGGCAGTATACTGTCATCTTTTATGCAATATAAATAAATATGTGTCTCATTGTTTTTTGGTTTGTGTTATTTAGTGTATCCGTGGTCATCTTTGTACACTACCGTGGACGTTGACAGCTGTGGTGTGATTGGTGGCCCCAACAAGGCTCTCAGCCAAGCATGTGTAGTCACCAGCGTCGTCCAGCTGAACTCGCTCAATGTGCAGACTGCCATCCCTCCGTACAGTCACATACTCATCTGAGGTCACCTAAAAAAAAAAAAAGGCAGGCTTATGGCATATGCATGACAACTTTACAACTTCTGTTTAACTTCTATTCATAAAGGATCCATTGTACTTACAAGGCCATAGTTGTGCAGCCACTGTCTCTCAGGCAGTGGATTGCCAGCCAACAGTACACAGGGTAAAGTCAACTGCTGGTCCTTGATCACACTGATCACTGCTGGACTCATTGCAATGACAGGCGTCACTGCAAACAACATTCAAGCTATTACGGATTGATTCGGTCAAGAAAAGTTGGCCATTGATCGCGAAAAAGTGCATTCACTTTTCAGGGACGGGTTTTGGGTTTTGTTCGATGAAAGAACACTTCAACAACACGTCTTAATTAAACACATTTTTATTCAAATGATTTGGAAACCAATTTGATTTGATTGCAGCCGTCAACCATTAGTGATACTTCACAGAGTTTGTATTTACAACGAGAGGGGAAAAAAAGAACGACTGGTTGCTGTAAACACAAAGCAATATAAACACTATGTGAATTTTCCACATCCGCTAAAAGGAAGGACACTCACACTTTGTTTTCCCGCAGATGTGATCATATGCTTGCAAGAAAAAATATGTGAACTCTTTGACATTAGCTTGATTTCTGCAGAACTTGACAACATAATCAATGTGATTTTTTTTCAACATAATATGAGGGTTAAGTCAGTTTAAGGAAAGAGATGAAAGCGTGAGCTCAGTGCTTCGATTTCTTGTAGTTGCTCCGAAATTTCTGTTTAGAAAGTAAAAACGGTATGTGGGCATGACTAACATGTGTTTTATGTTGTTGAGATGCATGTAGGTATGTTGTACATTGTGTAATGGACAGAAATAAATAAAGATTAAAATTAAATGACTCAACCGAGTAGGCAGTTTTTAACAAGTGCGTTTTGAGTTGTGCCATGAATTGAATGGAAGAGTCTCTTCCTAACTGCCATCATGCTACCACAGCGGTCTTGGTGCAAAGGCTGCATTTATACTTTGCCATATTTGCAGTCGGGGGGCGGTGTTCATCAGAGATGGACATGTGGACAATAAAGGCTGTTGAACATTGGTCGACTCCTCATGTCTTTCTAAACGAGTCATCTTTCAAAAACCCTCATCATCATTATCATAAAAATTGCCTAATGCGTTTAATTTGAAGACAAGGTGTCTTCAAATTAAACGCATTAAGGACACCGTGCAATGCTAAATTATGTTTAATACAAGGACAATAAAAATTGGCAGGACAGAAATAAATAAAGATTAAAATTAAATGACTCAACCGAGTAGGCAGTTTTTAACAAGTGCGTTTTGAGTTCATTGGTCGACTCCTCATGTCTTTCTAAACGAGGATGAAAACCTTTAGGAGCAGGTGCACGGATTACTCCACGGATTGCGTCTATCAAGGGTTCTTTTTGGAACGTAACCCCCGTAATAAACGAGGGTTCACTGTGACAAATTCTTCCGTGCATTTTTTCAAAGTAGATCTTTGCTAAAATCTCTTGGTCTTTAAGTTTAATTCACTCACCAACCAGTTACTGTCACATTACGCTGCATGCAAAATGCCCATTTATTAATTTGGTCAAATGTGTGAGGAAGCTGGAATATGAGAAATCCCACGCACACTTGAGGAAAAACATGCAAATTCCTCACAAGTAAGGCGGTAGTAGAGATTCAAACCTCAAAACTGTGAGGCAGTATACTGTCATCTTTTATGCAATATAAATAAATATGTGTCTCATTGTTTTTTTGTTTGTGTTATTTAGTGTATCCGTGGTCATCTTTGTACACTACCGTGGACGTTGACAGCTGTGGTGTGATTGGTGGCCCCAACAAGGCTCTCAGCCAAGCATGTGTAGTCACCAGCGTCGTCCAGCTGAACTCGCTCAATGTGCAGACTGCCATCCCTCCGTACAGTCACATACTCATCTGAGGTCACCTAAAAAAAAAAAAAGGCAGGCTTATGGCATATGCATGACAACTTTACAACTTCTGTTTAACTTCTATTCATAAAGGATCCATTGTACTTACAAGGCCATAGTTGTGCAGCCACTGTCTCTCAGGCAGTGGATTGCCAGCCAACAGTACACAGGGTAAAGTCAACTGCTGGTCCTTGATCACACTGATCACTGCTGGACTCATTGCAATGACAGGCGTCACTGCAAACAACATTCAAGCTATTACGGATTGCTTCGGTCAAGAAAAGTTGGCCATTGATCACGAAAAAGTTCACTTTTTCGGGGACGGGTTTTGGGTTTTGTTCGATGAAAGAACACTTCAACAACACGTCTTAATTAAACACATTTTTATTCAAATGATTTGGAAACCAATTTGATTTGATTGCAGCCGTCAGCCATTAGTGATACTTCACAGAGTTTGTATTTACAACGAGAGGGGGAAAAAAGAACGACTGGTTGCTGTAAACACAAAGCAATATAAACACTATGTGAATTTTCCACATCCGCTAAAAGGAAGGACACTCACACTTTGTTTTCCCGCAGATGTGATCATATGCTTGCAAGAAAAAATATGTGAACTCTTTGACATTAGCTTGATTTCTGCAGAACTTGCTCACAAAATGCCATCTGAACATTTGATTTTCGTCACAATAATATAAAATATATAATTTTCCAATAGCTAATAGATAAACACAGGGCCGAATCCACGAAAGGTTTGCGGGGCTTTTGTGTGGCGCTAACCAGTCAAAATGGAGAAAATAGATAGCCTCATTGATAAACAACATCTAATTCACTAACACGAGCGATAATAGCCCACACACAGTTTTGGGGGCGCAAACAACATCGACAGAAAGCTGGCGTAAAATTATCGCAGGTCAGTTGAAGAAGCCTCTTTTAGCAAGAGGACACATTGCCACTGCAATGTGTCATTCTGATAATGTCATCTTTAAAAAACCATCAGCATCATTATCATAAAAATAGCCTAATGCGTTTAATTTGAAGGCGCCTTTCTTGGCATTCAAGGACACCGTGCAATGCTCAATTATGTTTAATACAAGGACAATAAAAATTGGCAGGACAGAAATAAATAAAGATTAAAATTAAATGACTCAACCGAGTAGGCAGTTTTAAACAAGTGCGTTTTGAGTTTTGACATGAATTGAATGGAAGAGTCTCTTCCTAACTGCCATCATGCTACCACAGCGGTCTTGGTGCAAAGGCTGCATTTATACTTTGCCATATTTGCAGTCGGGGGCGAGAAACAGGTGCAAATTGTACGCTATCAATCTTTGTGGGCGTGTTTGCACTGGTATGTCATTTGCGCCATATCTTTTGTGAATAGGACGTTAAGATGAAGCAAACTGCGGGTGCAAATGAAGAGCAGTTAAAGGTGCTATCAGTGGCTGCATTTCATTCTTTGTGGATTTTTTGTTATCGTGGATTGATGACCATGAGCATAAGACATACGTTCGTGAGCCTTTCCAGCTCGATGGATTTAACATTTATTATTTGTCGGTATTCTGGGAGTCCAGAATACCGACCATTAGACAATCGCATAGGAGTGAATTCAAATATGCGATATATGCCATCAATGTGGGTCTGTACTTTGGCCTTGGAGTGTTTTCACAACAGAGGAATTGTCAAACGGAAAGAGTTGTTCACAAGGTACATGGGATCAAATACAAACAAAGTCGCATGCGTCAATGCTCAAAACGATACATCACGACCAATTCCGCCATTCGTTTTGTAGGTGTTCTTAATTTTTCTTTTAGAATCTGTACTGTGAACTTTATATGGACCGACAAATGAATCAAATAAAACAAAGCTACACTGTCAACATATTTCATATCAAATCTCATTCTTACCCAGTCCTGTCACAGTGATGCTTGCGTGGGTTTGGATCTTGCCAAAATGGTTGGAAGCCTCACAGACATATTCTGTCTCATCCTCAACCCACAGGTCTGATATACGGAAGAAATGTTTAAACCCAAATAATGGACTTCACATGCGGCCTGTGAATGTGAAACTCACTGGTGATATGAAGACCTCGCTTGTCTTGAGTCATGACGCTACGTCTGTGGTGCTGATCGAAAAGGGGCAAACCGTCCAATCTCCTCCAGGTGACTTGTGGATCTGGATAGCCTTGGGCTTGGCATGGCAGGGTCACATTGGAACCGATGTCCACCGACACGTTTAATGGCTCTTGGGTGAACTTTGGTGCATCTGCAATGAAGTTGAAGTGGGCAAGGGTCATTATATTTCATCCGCGTGTAAAATGTGCTGAAAGCAACTCAGCTGCCCATTCAGTAAGGATTGTGCACAGACATATCAAAGAGCTGCCCAGTGACTGAAGTGTCAGTACACTTAATATTGCCGCCATTTTCTTATTTGTGTGTAGGTGCAAAAAATCCAAGTATAGCGTTTATCTGGCTATGGAAGCATATATGACACAGTTCAACATATAAACTACCAGTAATCATCTTGTGCCTTGGAACTGAATGTGGAAAGATGTCATTTTAATGACTATGTATATTTTTTTAAAAATGTTATTTTCTAATGATTACAAATATACACATGTAGCATTTTATTGAAACTCATGTATATTTTTTTAAAAATGTTAATTATTACAAATATACACATGTAGCATTTTATTGAAACTAGATAATATGCTTTGTCTAAATACATTTAAAATATTACAGAACAATGTTGAAGGTGGAATATTGGCTTGCTAACGCTTGGCTCGGCAAGCATTATAGTTTCTCATGTGGCCCTTTTGCAAATTTATTTGCCTCAGAAAGTTGATGGTTGTAAAACGTGATTAACTGTATTCACTGTTTGAGGCAGCTGTTTAAAGGTAGAAGCTCTCCTGGTCATTCCTCATGTTTGCACACCAATTACACACTCAATCAAAATGTGTGCCATATTTGATGTGTTTCGTGCAATACGGTGTCCCATCCCACTCACACAGAAAAAAATCACATCCCAGTCCCGGTACTGGACCATAGTAAAAAAAAAAAAAAAAAACAATTGTATTTTGTACCATCCGAATCCATGATCAAAGGTAACGTTTACTCCAATCCCGTGAGAATCCTGCGAGAATTCTGTGACCCGTGGGATTCCCAAAAATATGTCAAGCTCTTTTGCATAGTACTTTAGATCGGCATTCATATACATTCTTCATTCTGCATTTACATATGAAAAAAAAAACAAACTAATGAAAAAAAAAACAAACAATTGCATACATACCCCCAACATCAAGAGCAACCTTTCCTGATGAAGTGCCAGCAGTGTTGGAAGCCACACAAGTGTAGTCTCCAGCATCAACTTCCTGGGTATTCTTAATGGTCATTGTACCTGCCAGTGCATCTATGTCCAACGAAGCTGTTGATTGCAGCTGGACATCACCTGGCGAGCAGAAAAGATTGCTTAAGCTTGTACTTGTTACTCAATTTTATTTTCTGCCTCAAATATTTTATCGTTTGTCTAAAATGTGACTATGTCTCTGTGTTGTTACACTGAAAACATTTGGGGTGCTATTTACTTGAAAAAATGTTTTTATCACTAATAAAAGCTTAGTATGGTACATTTTATTTGCATAGTAATATCAATGCATCTATTTTCAACATCGCTTATCCTGAACAGGGTTGCTGGGAGTTACTGGAGCCTATCCCAGCTGACTTTTTGCGGAAGGCGGATGACACCCTGAACTGAACACCAATCAGTCACAGGGCACATATAGAAACAAACAACTATTCACACCCACATCCACACTGTCACTGAGTGGGAACCGATCCCACACTGCCCACAGACAAGTCAGGCGAGTGTACTACTAAACCACCAGCGACTGCACAGTAATAGTTTATTTTAAAATAAAGTCACTCAAGGGTTGAGGAACAAACCCACAACCTTCAGGTTGGAAGACAACCACTTTACCAACGAAGCCATATGTTAGTTGTAGTCTCCAATACGTAGAACTCAAAAATGGTCTGTTTTTGGAGGTACGAGTATCATGTCTGACACCAGCAATAGGCTAACTAAAACACAGTCGGAACGGCATGGCTCAGGTTATAGAGTAGCTGTCTCCAAACCTGAAAGTTGTGGCTTCATTCCACAAGTCTTGTGTAACTAAACTACCATATTTTTCGCACTATTAGGCTCTTCAGAGTATCAGGCCTCTTTCAATGAATGGCATATTTTAAAACAGTTTTCATATATAGGGTGCACCGCATTATAAGGCACATAGAATAGAAGCTACGATAGTGGCTGAGGTCACGTTATGCATTCACTAGATGGAGCTACACTAAAGAGAATACAATACAATACAATACAAAACAATACAGATTTACTTAAATAGAACTTTCACAACTGCTGCCGCTGTAACAAAGCACTTGACAGAACATTCAAAATACTACGTCCAAGAAATCAGAATATCGATCCATATACAAGCCATATCGGATTATAGGGCGCACTGTCGGCGTTTGATAAAATTGAATACTTTTAGGTGCGCAGCTTATAGGATAATACTATGCGTGTCAAATTTACTTGAAAAAGCTTCTTGTTAAATGTACCTTTGTACCACCAGATCTCTGGGTGGGGGATTCCTGACGCAGAACAGGCCATCACAGTGTTTTCTCCAATACCAGTGAGTATCTCATCAACAGCCACTGTCACCACAGGAGATTCTACGGACAAAGCAGTTAACTAAGTATTGTACAGTACTTAGGTGTAGTTTATGTTTTTATTGTTAAAGTAAATATGTCTTGTCTGTGTACATTCAAGAAATGCCAGTGTGTATCATTCACCGATGTAAGTGAGGATGGAAACCATCGAGTCAGTTCCCGCTTGGTTGCTGGCCAAGCAGCCATAAACACCTTCATCCATCTTCTCTATGTTTCTTATTGATAGCGTGCCATCACCTGTCATTCTGTGTCTGAACAAAATTATATTTTGCATCTTAACCGAGAGCCAATAAAATGTGAAACACTTTCAAAAGAAGAGTGAATTTACCTGCTTGATGCCATAATAAACATGCCATTGTGTGTCCAAGCCAGGAAGGGTGGCGGGTAGCCACTGGCTGAGCATCTGATCTTGACTTCTTCTCCTGATGCAAACGTCTGGTTCCGAGGCTCCACGGAGACACGAGGCACCTCTAAAGGGAAAATGGCATTCCAGATTTGTATAATCTAGTTTACTTGTCAAAAAGCAGCGCAGTGTTCTACGGCATCTACTGCAGTTCAGGCACTCATAAATTTAATCAACGTCAAGAGTTGCTCCAACTAAGAAGGTTATTAGTTGTCGCCAGTCCTGGTTAACAGTGGAATCTTCAGAGAGGAGCCACTTGATTCATGATGTGTCCCTCAACACTTTAAGGGTGTGTTCCGCTATAACTGCCAAATTGAGTCACCGAACTCCGCTTGTAGAAAGTTCAGCGTGGGGAAACGGCTTCCAGCATAAATCACAATTCCAGTGCGCATCAATGATATAATGTGATTTATTCCTGTTACATCGCTTGACATAGCACAGCATGAAGCTCTACTGTATACACCAGAATGTCAGATGTAAGTACATGGATTCTTGTGTAGCCAAACGAGACCATACTCTTGCTTGTCTCTTTGGATGGATGAAGTCACCCTGTCCACAGATGGCAAGGACACTTGGAGTAAAGACCTATTTTTTGTTAGCTAACTTGGAAGCATTGTAGCTTTAAAACATGATTTCTTACCGAGCTTCCACTCGTAAGTCATGCTCACACCCACTCCCTGCCTTTCTTCTGTCAATTTCATCACATAAGATTCCTTTTTCTGCTCCTAAAATCATTCATTACACCTACAGTACATAAACTACAATGGTACAATTGTTTTTGGTACGTATAATGCATAGTTGGAGAGACTTTATATTTTCTTTTTTGTGATCAACTTCCAAATACTGGTTAGCAATGGAAAAAACAAAACCCATCCATTTTTTTTAACTACTTTTACTGTTCAAGGTCGTGGAAGTTCCTGGGTTGTATCCCAGCCGACTTTAGAGCAGGCGTGTCCAATTCCAATCCTCGAGGGCCTCGAGCCAGAATGCTTCAGACGTGTCCCTCCTCCAACACACCTGATTCAATTATGACTTGATAACGATCCTGATCATTTGAATCAGGTATGTTGTGGGAGGTAGACATCGAAAACATGTTGGATAGGGGCCCTCGAGGACCAGGGTTGGACACCCCAGCTCGAGAGAAAAGTCAAAATATGGACTGCTTCGAAGAATGAAGGGGAATTGATCAGCTGCATACAAGTCATCTGTGTTTTATTGTATGTATCGATCTAATAAAACATGCATATTAATGAGCATTTGCATGAAAGTATGCAAGATTATAGCTATCGGCTCATCTCAATTTCTACTACCTTGGCAGACTGATGAAACATTTCAAGCATAAACATTACAAATAGCATAAGCAAAATCAAGACATACACAATCCAAGTACCTTAGTTCTCATTTAAATTTGCTACTGCTCACTGTCATTGTCTGCACTTTCATACCTCTAGACACATTTTGCAATTATCAATAAGGAATTGAGATACTCATTTTGGCACACTGATTAGAGAGAGTCACACAAAGGTTTTCAACTCGTTTTTGTTTACAAGCTTGCCCCATTGGCTGATATTTGAAGTGTAATATTTATGAATATAACATCTAAACCGTGTGCCCTCATTGAATACGGTAAATAATGGTACTGTATTGGCAAGAGTGCTGTAATGTTACTGATGTCAGTATCATCCTGCATCTTTACTGGAGTTATTAGAAAGTATTTTCTTCTCAAAGCCAGAGGCAAAATAGGGAAAGAGCAAACAAAATGATGCTCAAATCATTTGATACTTAGTCTTGGTAAGTGTCAATTGCGTTATCCTCCTCGAAGGTTTTATGGTTGGATTCAAAGGAGCAATAATGTTTGACAAGATGAACATGAAGATGATGATATCTATCTATCTATCTATCTAGGTGTCTATCTATCTATCTATCTCGCTTATGCTCACCAGGGTCTGCTGAATCTGTCCCAGTTGACCTTGAGCAAGAGGCAGGACACACCCTGAACTGGTTGCCAGCCAATTGCAGATCATATATCAGGGGTGTCAAACATACGGGCCGCAGGCCGGAGCCGGCCCCAAAGGAATTTCGATCAGGCCCACAGGATAATTTAAAAGTGAAAAAAATGCATTAAAGACACAGAATGAATATTTTTCATAAAATGCACTTCATGGATTATCCACTAGGGGGCACACTGTTTTGATCAGAGTAGAAGACAACATTGTTTTGATCAGAGAAGAAAACAGCAGTCTCGGCCTGTCACTGAGATAGACCAAACACATGAGACAGTATCAATGCGCCAATGCTTCTTTATGCCAAAACAAAGGAAATACATGATATTTTAGTTATTTAGAGCAGAGTATGGTATAAAGTTAATGGCGCGGCCCACTTGACATCTACCGAGTCCGTATGTCGCCCACAATGTGACATGAGTTTGACACCCCTGTCATATAATATATAAACAAAGAACCATTAACACTCACATTCACACCTTTGGACAATTTACAGTCACCAATGAACGTAACGTATGGATATGGAATATAGCCAAAACCAGAGGTGTCCGTCAACAACCTACGCAAGCACAGGGGGAACATATGAACTCCACTCAGGAAGTCCGGAGCCCTGCTTCGAACCCCCAACCTCCGAAATGTGAGGCAGGTGTGCTAACCACATGCACTGTGCCACCCAGTAGTATACATGTATGTAATATATATAACGCAATTTGAACATTAAGTCCATCTTCAGTCCAAGACCAAGAAAAAAAGTCTTTCTTAGTCCTGCGATGCAAACACACGTGACAGAAAAAGGCACATGGCATCACATCTGCATTTTCAACCTACTCTCAAGTCAACTACATTCTGACAAAGTGTTGCGGGTGATCAGACCTGAGTCTCTTCAAAGGGAGGCAAATGGCTATGATAGCAAAGGGGGGGGGGTAATTACAATCCCCTCATAGCTTGCTGACAGCTGCTTGAGAGAGGAAGTGAGCGATAAGACACACACGCACACACACACGCGCGCGCACACACACACACACACACACACACACATAAATAGGTCTGAATCTTAGTTTAAAAAAGAAAACCAAAGAAAAGAGACAATGTCATATAAACTCACGCAGAAAAAGGCATGGTGGAATAAAGTAATAAAGGTTAGGTATCAAAACCTGGCTCAAACTGTCGAAGGAGGAATTTTGGTAGCACCATATGGCCCGTGAATTAGCTTCTCTTGCGACTGGCGGTTGTCTAACAAAGTCAACGCAGTAGAGCGTGCAAATACTTGTTTCTCTTTCTTGTTCTTTCTTGGCCTCCTGACTCTCTGTAATGGGCTCTGGCTTTTATTACTGCTACAACTCACTCCTGATTCTTTAAATGTGAAAAACATAACGCTCTCGAAGTGTAATATCCTTAATTTGGATTAGCATCAGAAAACATAAATGCTTTCACATGCCCAATAAAGCATTAGAGGGAATTATAGTGAGCCAAAGAAGGAAGTAGGACAGATAGACACAGCATAGTATCACATATTAAGAGGTTGGGCTTGCAAAGTGTTGTGATGTCAGACAGTGTATTAGCACGGGCAAATATCCATTCCCTGTGTTGCTTACATTATCAGGAATGGCATTAAATTGCTTGGTTCTGTTTGAATCTGAATTCTTAATCACACCAAGACATTGGACAAGTCTTTAACTTTATACTTCCATCTTTGTGGGAGCAGTTTTGAATCGTAGACAATAAAATCAATCACTCACTCAGATAACATGATTGATCACCAATGACTGTGAATGTGTTTGGGAATACCAATTTTGTGTGCAGGCCCTCCTCAGTTTCCCTAAGCACAAATCAACATTCATAAACACTTGGTTTGATGAATTTGGTGGCTATACTTGATCATCTTGAACTAAACATTGTCATCAATCTTCTGGATGAACGAGAATAGAAACTGTGAGCCAGGCTCTCGTGCAATACCAGAGACCTCTGAATGTTCTTTCCAATTTGAGCCTGTGTGCACTTTACTGTTATGAGGCGACACCATGGGGAATTGGAAGACAAGGAGGCACTGACAATAACAAAAAGCACAAGCACAATGTCATCAAAAAACAGCGGATCAGACAAGGATGGATGAAGAAACTGGACAGCGGTATAAAAACACACTCCTTACCTTGCACAACAAGGTTGACTCGCTCTGCTGTCATCCCTCCTTCATTGACAGCAATACACTCATACCAGCCTGAGTGATCCGCCATCACAGAAGATACTTGAAGTGAAAGATTAGTCAAGACGCGAACCCGAGGGTCCAGGCGGGCATCAAGACCCTCTCTCAACCAAGTTAGGTTGAAGCTGACTGTGCTGATAACATGGCAGGTGAGGACAGCTCGGGATCCGGGTGAAACTGTTACGTTGCCTTCAACTGTGACAGCGGGAGGTGGCTCTGCATAAAGAGGACATCAGAATAGTATCTTGTCAGGATGCTACCTGGACGCCTCTCTGGTGAGGTGGTCTGGGAGGAGGCCCTGGGGATGCGCTGGAGAGACTATGTCTCCCAGCTGGTTTGGGAACATCTCTTGACACCCCAGGAAGAGCTGGGCAAAGTGGCTAGTGAGAGGAAAGTCTGGGCTTCCCTGCTGAAGCTGCTGCCCCCGCAACCCGAACTCAGATAAGCGGAAGAGAATGAATGAATGAATGAGGGTTTGTGATTTCTAATTATTGTTATCTGGAAATAACCAAGAAAATATCCATATGGAAGAGGAAGTGAATTGTGCTCAAATATGTGCTGACCTGATACATCCAGGAAGGTGCGAGCTCGTCCTGTTCCAGCGCTGTTAATAGCAATGCATTCGTAGTAGCCTTCATCCTTTGAAGTTACCACTTCTATTTCCCATGATGCCGTGTCAGACTCCCTGGAATGAAATACGTTTCAGAGCTTTAGGACATCCAGCGGTACTGTACATTGTATTGAAGTATGTTTTCAGTAAGCTGCATGATAATTTTGTAGCGTGAAGTAGTTTTTTTCCCCGTTTTTAGTAACAATAACGGTTTTATGTCATCGACAGTGTCCCTGCTAACCTGAATAATTGATCCATCCCAAGTCGCCTTCCATCATTGCTGAATCGTAGTGTGAAGGGAATCACGCTTTCCACTTGACATCTTACACCCCCTTTCTGGAGATAATAACCATGGGTAATTGCTGGCATCAAGACTTTCGGAGCATCTAATAAGAGATACATCAGAAAGCAAAGTTCATCTCTCATCGATCATATTGCCAATGTATGGTATGTACAACCTGCATCACTGACCTGGTATAATACTTGAGAAGGACACACTGGAGACTCTCTGGAAAACAAAACCATCCCGGTCAAATCCCGTCACCCGCAGAAAGAAGGCTTCATTTGGTGGAATAAAATCGGTGATGTTCCAGAGGCTGTACGGTTGGCGTTCAGGATAGTAGCGGATTGGCAGAGTTTTAATGACTCTGCCTGTTATTGCCAAGAGCTCGAGCCGATCAACTCGAGCAGGTGGAGACAGCCCAGTTGTGTTCAGCAGGATGTGGGTTGGAATACCTGGAAAGTTAATCGAATTTATATTTCAACTGTAATGTTCAAAAACTGGCCAAATGATGGCACTGAAGGGAAAATAATGGATGAAAGACAAACAAAGCTCTGTGGACATTAACTAATTGGAAACAATATTTCAACTCACTAACCTTGAACTGGACGACTGATCGTCTTTTTGAAATCCATTGTGGGCTTTCGGGAGAACCCAGCTCGGAAGTCTATGCTGCTGAGACCTGAGATGCGAACTGAGTGTCTTCCTTCACTAGAAGTCTGCAATTAAAAGACATGACTTGACAAATCATATTTGATTTTCCCTAAACAATCCATGCATCATGAAATGGTGTGACATCTTTCCGGTAAAATCTCATGATGTATAGGCCTTTCCGGTAAGTGTGGCATCAGTGGTTTTGAAGCGGTTCTACTTCAGAGAAATTCTATTCATTGTCATTGTTTTAGAGTAGAAAGGGTTCCGTCAGTCGTCATCTGTACTTGTGGGTAAAAAACAAAAAACAAAATGGGATCCCCTGTGTCTCCCATTGTGGCTAACTTGTACATGGAAGAATTTGAAAATTTGGCATTGTCTTCATACAAAGGTTCCCCACCAAGCCATTGGTTTAGATATGTGGATGACACCTTTGTCAAAATCAAAACAATGGAAGTTGAGGGATTCATTGAACACATAAATAATCTAGACGACAGCATCAAATTCACCAGAGAAGACGCAAAAGACAACGCACTGGCCTTTTTGGATTGCAAGGTCAGCTTAGAGCAGGACAGAACACTTAAGGTTGAGGTCTACAGAAAACCCACGCACACAGATCAGTATTTGCATTTCAACTCCAATCACCCACTGCAACACAAGCTAGGCGTAATTAGAACACTTGAACACAGAGCGAGCCAAATCTCCACCAACACCAAGTC